GTTGCCTCCCCAATGTTTAAGCGTGTGTTTGTTGTTGTAAGGGAATATCTGAGGCCAGGTGACTTATAAATAAAAGAGGTTCATTTGTTGTGGGCTTTGCAAGTTGTCTAAGAGGCCTGGTGCCAGCTCTGCTTCTGGTGATGGCTTCAAGCTGCTTCCACTCACGGCAGAAGGCAAAGAAGACCACCCAGTGAGAAGGGAAGCTGGTGTGGGTGGGTGGGTGCAGGTTCCAGACTCTCTTTGACAATTGTATCTCACAGAAACTCATAGGGTGAGAATTCCCTCCTTGTTTCCACAATGGCACCAAGCTTCTCGTGAGGGATCTACCGAAAACACACCCCCGTTAGGCACCACATTCATTGGGGATCAAATTTTAACACAAGGTCTAGAGGGTTAAATATCCAAACTAGAGCACCTGACCATCAGCATGGGGATATCTAGAAAATTTCTCTGCCCTACCGTGGGTGTGGGTGTTCCCGGCAGAGGCAGGGTGGTGGGACTTCCCTCCAAAGATTCCTCCCTTCCCCTCAATCAGACATCTGGGTTACGCACTACCTCTGTTAGCACTTTCTCTCCATCAAGATGAAGAAAAATACAATAATAAAAAATGAGCCGCAATTCGAATTTTGAATTTCACAGGGAGGTGATTAGAAGTGTGAATAGTGTCCATGCAACACAGAGTCATTGCTTACAAAAGCTCGCACAAAAGCTACAGAAAAATGGGCTTTGTCGTTCTATAAAGGCAACGGTAATTTTATTAGAACTCCTTCCTCCTCTTTTCCTTATAATTTCTAAGCAAGTGACTTAAACTAAGAATTGGTTAGCTTTGCCGTCTCAGCTCCGTCGTTGCAGCCTCTGCAATGTTATTACTTTTGTTACTGTTGTCATATTAATTCAGGGGTGAATCAAAGAGAACCTAAATTCTGATATTTGTTCTCAGCCTTTTCATGCTCCAGAATTAATGTTCGAACAATTTACTCCCTAGGAGGAAACATGCTGTTGATCGTTTGGTTAGTCAGTTTTGAAGATGCAAAGTGCCCAGAGAATCACTTTCTGCTTCAGGGTAGAAAACCCAAGCCCTCTCTTCCAGTCAGGTATATAAGGACTCTCGTTGAGATAGGGTGAAGTTTTAAAAAGTGGAGTAAAAATGTATGAAATTTGTTTTCCTTCCACCTCTCAAAAAGGTTCTGGAAGGCAGCTGAGTCAGCTCTGAAAATAACTTTCCCAGAGTAAGAAGGAATTTCCTTTGAGTGGATTAGATGTTAAAAAAAAAAAAAAAAATTGTGTAGCTGATGGAATTGCCCCTTGAACCAAGGCATCAGCAAGACCTGTTGACTTTCTCACTCCAAAATGTGTGTCAGATGAGACCGTCTGCCACTCCCTGACTCTGAGGCCACCACCTTAGTCCAGCTCTGTATAAGCTGTGTTGGGTCTTCCTGCCTTGACTGATGCCCTTGTCCCTTCTGCTCTCAAACCACAGTCAGGCTCATATTTTTACAGTGTACATGACCTTACATCCCTCCCACGTCACCCCACACTCGGAGTCCTGCAATGAGAGAGGTTTGATCCTACTCTACTGCAGCTGGAAGAAACGGGTTCCCTTCCCCAAGTACCCCGCCGTCCTCAGCCACCTGTCACTGTCTCCCCACTACTCTGCTGTTTCTTTTAAAGACTTATCACAATTCGTAAATATGATAAACATTTTGCTTGGGTCTTCTTTCTTCTTTTTCATTTGTCATCTTTTCCCCCAGATTGTACGATTAATAAATTTAGGGATGTTTCGCTTTCGTTCTCTTTCATCTTTGTTTTCTAATATCAAGCCCATGGACCAGCACGTGGCAAGCTTTTTTCCCTTACTGCTTTTAAAATAACATTTTCAAACATACAGCGAAGAAAATTTTATGATGCATGCCTGAATACCTATCACCTGGTTTTTATTATATTATCTTCATTCTTATTCATCTCTCCATTCTTCTATCTATCCATCGATACATGGATAACTTTTATTTTTGAGACAGAGTCTCACTATGTTGCCCTGGGTAGAGTGCTGTGGCATCACAGCTCACGGCAACCTCAAACTCTTGGGCTTAAGCGATTCTCCTGCCTCAGCCTCCCATGTAGCTGGGACTACAGGTCCCTATCACAACGCCCGGCTATTTTGGTTGTAGTTGTCATTGTTGTTTGGCAGGCTGGGTTTGAACCCACCAGCTTCAGTGTATGTGGCTGGTGCCCTAGCCGCTGAGCTACAGGCGCCAAGCCAGATACACCGATAACTTTGATTAAATCTGTTGAATGAATGAAAGGGTTCTACTTCTTTAGTCCATAGCCTGAAGCTATCTATTGTGAGGTTGGCCTAAATATGGACACTGACCTTCCTAGAGTTTGTGTGGACACAGAGTCTGGGGAACCGAGTAACATACTCCCAGGTATCCATCTGCTAAGCCCTGTCCCGGGCACAGGACTAGGTAGTGGGGATTCCAAAATAAAGAAGAATCTTCTTTATCACCAGCAAATATTGGTTAGTGTTACAATGACGTTAAAACTGATTGATTTCTTGCTATCTTCTATTTTTGTTGTACAAGAAGGCGAATGCAATTGTGGACTTGGCCAACTCCAGGGAAAGAACATTTTTATAATTCCTAGTTCAGTGAGGGACAAACTCAAGCCCACTGGAACCATGGAACCTTTGGCTTTTCTTGTTTTTAAAGTTCTGTACACACCATTGACATATCCAAGCAATAGTAGCAAAAGAAAAACACAAACAGTGTTTCTAACCGAGGTTAACTGTGGCCAAGATAAAAGCATCTCTGCCAAGATGACCAACAGAGCACCCAGGCAGAGAGAGCTTACTCTTCTCCCCCTTTGCAACGGATACGGTTTCCCCCTAAACTATGCTTGATGATGTTTTTTGGACCCTGTGTATATTATTTGGATTGCTCAGAGGCAACATCTTTGAAGTGACATCCTGGGGCCGTGCTGTGCAATAATCCTTTATTAAGCTTTGCGGTGTCTATTCATGTTTACTTTCACTGTCTTATTTTTAGAAGGAGGATTTTGAGAAGGTCAATTCAGTGATTGAATTCCAAGAGCACTTAGCAGGGGTCCATGTGTATAAGGGTGTTGAATCATCGTGAACTGGGAATGCATCCAAGTTCATGCTTAACGGAGAATCCTTTGTTAAATATTTAAAAGCGAAAGCAATTTTTCAAAATAGGCATGTGGGCCTGGAAAGCATAGAAATGGGGGAACACAGCATTTCAGGTCCCACAGCAAACGTAGCAGCTGGGACCTGGGCTTACTGTCCCTCCAAACTCGACTGTCTCTCTCCTTATGCCTTTGCCCCTTTTGTGTGATGGGGTTCTGCTTTCTAGCATGTTGACAACGCCCAACTCATCAGCTTTCACAGGATCTTGTTGTCTCTCCTGTGCTTTCATGGCCAAATATTTTCAAGACCTGGTGTTGTCTAGACCTGAATTGACATCGTTGCTATCTTGTAGTAGCTAACTGACCTTGAACAAGAAATGTAAGTCTTCCAAGTTCCAGGCTCTTTGCCTATAGGTGGAGACTTTACTACCTGCTTCAGCCTGTGCATGTGTCTAGCGTGGAGAAGTCCCCTGATAAATGTCAATTTTACCCTCCTATTTTTAGATCAGTTGCCACATTGGATTGGCAAGAAATGACAAATTGGGGGATAAATATGACATCCCACCTAGATATTTCACACGATATGAGAAAAAGGTAAATCTGGAAGTGGATATTTTACTTATAAAATTAAACTTAATTTTATTTTGCAAAAATCAACAAATACATGTCCAGATCTGATTTATCTTCAAAACATATGCTTGTTTGTTTTATTAACAAAGGTGCAAGTGAATTTGGCATGCCAAACATCTCTCCAGCTCTCCCTGGAATTTTTTTTTTTTTTCCATAACACAAACAAGGGTGCAAATATTGCCCAAAACCTATTTACATGTTTACCCTCCTGAATCACAAGCATTAATATTTACCGGGAAGAAAGCAAAACCGCAAGGCTTGGTCTTTGGCATTCACATTGGATTCAGCAGTATAATTAAAAACTTAACTTTTTTTTTTTTGAAGGAACGTTAAATCTTGTTTCTGCTTTGCAAAGGAGCCACTATATTACAGCATTTAACTGGAGCTGCTGAGATCCTGCGGGGAGAGTATTACTTCCAGCCTATTTATTAGCTTTTCTTCCTGCAGCCCAATACATGCATTTTTTTTTCTCCACTGAATGAAAACACAGGAAAAAATAAATACCAATTTCTTTCCTCTTGCCATCATGCTAGGCCAGGCACCATCACAAGTCACAACATCTGAATTTACTTTGATTATATTTTTGTTTCCCACACTTAAAGTTATTTTGTATTATAATACCTACTCCTTTATCTAAAATCAACATCGTTGATTTTAAACTGTTATACAGTCAGACTTTACCAAGGCATTTAAAACAAGTTGAGAACCCTGTGAATGAAAGGAAATAATTGCCTCCAGCCTATTCTTTTGCATTGAAAGTAAAAGAATTTTAGGTATTTGCAGTTTACTAGACAGTAAGACTTCAGATCTTGTCATACACCGTAAACCAGGAGAGGGTACCTCTGACTGAAGCCTAGGAACTAGCTATCTTTTTAAAAATAGATTCTTCACATTTTAAATATGATTCTGGTAGGTCTCCTAAGAGCTTATTTCCCCCCAAAACGGTTACATGAAATCGTCCTGATAAAAAAAAATCTAAAGCCTTAGATTCAAGTGGAGTGAATATATGTGAGGTGATGTCATTGCATGTTCCTGACGTGCAAAGAAGCGTGTACAAAAGCAATGCACGTAGCTTCTATTTCAAACTCCAGGCAGGACAGAACAGTGCACAGAGAAGAGAGGGATTTTCAGGTCACGCCGTGGAAGAAGACAGTACCCACCTAGATCAGTAAGTTTGTGAGCAACACATATCAACACACAACGCATTCCACAATATGCCAGCAAGATCAGGTAGAAACTGCACTGTGATAGCCACATATTTTTGAGAAAAATTCCCAAGCCAGCCGAATGTGGATTGGGATAAAGACATAGGCAGTGTAGACGACCATAGCAACAATGGTTAGTAAGATGGTGTTGAACATGGATCGCTCCCAGGGCTCCAGGACGGAGCAGCAGCTGATGATTTGGTATTGATAGTAGAGCCAGGAGAAGTATTCCTTCACGCGCCTGAAGTCCATGGTCGATGTCTTGAAGCTGCAGAAACTTTATCCTGTTAAAGAATGAGCAGATGAGAGAAAAAACAAAATGAGGAACCAAACACAGAATCTCCATAAAGTTTCATGATCTCGGCGTGTTAAAATCTTTCAAAGAATGTTAAAGATAATCGCGCACGTTATTCATATGAATATTAGGTAGATATAATATATAGCACGTTAATGATAGAAATTAATACTTATAGAAACTAATAATATTGTCCCTACTACTAATTAGTACTAAAATTGGCAGTAATAATATTATTAGTAACAATATTTATTTAAACATAATTGCTAGAAATAATTCCAGTAATAACAGTACCTAGAAATTGAGGCCAGCTAACACTTTCCTTGTATGCAAAGAGAGGTAAGTGTGAATTTTTCTATTTCCTACACCATGTATTCTCATAGAAGACTTAAAAAGGAGTGTTCAGGGAAGAGACAATGATGCAGGTCCCCTTCACCTAGGGCTGAGCACAGGCCCCATTTTCTGGGCCCACGCAGGCTCAGTAGCCCGATGGATCAATGTTCCATTTAAGCTGCCACTCCCATTCTGCCCCATCCTCCCATTAGGGGCAGAACGTCCTAAATAAGACCACATTTCTACACCATGGAGGTTTTAGAATTCACTTCTGCCTGTGGGCTTCTGGCATTAATGGTTGTGACGTATTTTCCACATACATTCCATCTCCCCAACCCACCTGTCTTCAGGGAAAGAGAAGTTCCTTCCTACAGAAGACTGTAGGAAACTGCATATAAACCCCTGGACAGACAGCCACATGGGCCACCCACCAGGGACCCCCTCCCCCCTGCCACCGCTGTGCCAGAGGCTTTATTCCCCTCTTTCTGTAACCTCTTATCTATAACAAAATCTGTCCTGCCACTTACTCCTAGAGGTCCACGAATTCAGACTTTGATTCCCGAGACCAAGGACCTGGCAGAGAAATTCCAACAACAATAATGTACCAAGTCCGAGGCTGCTCATCTTCAGAAGGGCCTGCTGGCAAGTTCGGCCCTTGACTATCATATCAAAACTTGGCTTTTGGGATGTTCTCTCCATTCTCTACCAGGTAAGGGTGACCCACTGTGCCTAGACTGTACAAGCAATGTACTCTATAATGAAACTTACAGTTATACATAGTATACATCTACTGTGTTCTCATCGTATTGGCCAGAGGGTGCCCATGTGACCAGCTCTGCTCTAAATGTTGGGTGCTGAGTCTCTAATGGGTCTCTCTAGGCAGAAACATGGGCACTGCACTTTTTGCTGGGAGAAAAAGGCCAAACTCGTGTGTCTACCAATGGGAGCATCAGAAGCCTGCACGTGGGTCTCTCCAGCTTCTCCCTATGTCTGTTTTCCTTATCGCATACTTTTTCACTATAATTTACCTTAGCTGCGAGGAGAAATATATGTTGGGTGTTTCCAGTGAATCACTGAACATGTGGGTCTCGGGAACTCAAAGTGTACCTTTAGGTGGTCATTTCTTTTTGTGGCCCAGAACCCATGGAAACCATGCATGCGTTTTGTTGGCTTTCAGAAAGGACCACAGTTATAATCACGTGTAAACCTTCCTGGAAAGAAGAGTAGCTGCCATTCCTTAGGAAGACTCCTGGGAAGATCTTGCAGAGGTCCACAGGCATAGTGCTGAGCATCTATGGAAATACAGGCTCATTTTGTGGCTCTTGTTACTCCTAAGAAGACGATGGCGTCAGGCAATCAAAGTCTTCTTTGACAACTGTCACTACTCCGATCACAGTTAAAATTTATGGAAGGCCATGCCTATCTTCTGACCTGAAATTGTTACCTTTTTTCTTAAATCCTCTTTTGAGTAAAAGTAAAACACTTTTGCTCTAGAAGACTGTGGCCTGCTCAGGATACAGGGAGACCCTCACTGATCCTTATATACAGGATCTCACGATGATGCCTGGCACAAAGACGGTTATCAGTAAATATTTGCTGAGTGAAGGATAAGTAATCAACCTAAAAAATAATTATAGAGCATGCATAGTCCCAATATTAAGAAGGATGGAGTTAGCTATTATTGATTTTTAACACAGGTTGGCTTTAAGAACAAGTAACCCACCTGACAAGGATCATATCCCCAGAATCCATTTTTTTTTTTTTATTTGAGATGGAGTCTCATTTTGTCACCCTTGGTAGTGTGCTGTGGCATCGCAGCTCACAGCAATCTCAAGCTCTTAGGCGTAGGCAATTCTCTTGTCTCAGCCTCTGAAATAGCTGGGACCACAGACGCCCACCACAATGCCCAGCTATTTTTTTGTTGCAGTTTGGCCAGGGTCGAGCTTGAACCCGCCACCCTTGGTATATGGGTTTGGCACCCCAGTCACTGAGCCACAGGTGCCACCCAGAATCCTTTGTTTGTTTGTTTGTTTTTTAATATGTGGTCTTGCTGTGTTGTCCAGGCTAAGTGCAGTGGCATCATCAGAGCTTAACATAGCCTTTAACTCCTGGGCTCAAGCAATTCTCCTGCCTTACCCTCCCAAGTAACTGGGACTATAGGTCCATGGCCACCATGCCCAGCTAATTTTTCTTCTTCTTATTTGTTATTATTATTATTTTAGAGATGAGGTCTTGCTATGTCACCCAGACTCATTTCCACATAAACTTAAAATGAATGGCTCATGTGTGACCAGGTTACCATTATCGTAATAATCACCAGAATAATTCAGAAAAGTAGATAAATATAAAACAGAAGCATTGTTATTGTCTTATGAAAAGAAAGGCAAATCTCCCATCTTTCCTAAAACCAGAGTAAAAACTAAATAATTGGATTTAAATGCTTGGTCCTCGTAGGTGGACTTGGACAGGAAGTTACCGCCACCGTTCTTTTTCTCTCCCAACTCTGGTTGCAGAGAAAGAAGAAAGACAATGAGGTCCAGGACTTGGGGGATGTGTGTAACAGAGAAATGTCTCTTAGTCATTCGTACCATTATAAAAAAATACCTAGGACTGAGTATTTTATAAACAATATAAACTCTTATATTATTATAAGTAAATAATTCACAGTTCTGGAGGCTGGAAACTTCAAGGTCCAGGTGCTGGCAAGTTTGGTGGCTGGTGGGGGCCCCTGCTTCTAGGGTGGCACCTTGTCTGGTGTGGCCTCATGTAGAAAAAGGAATGAAAGGGCAAAAGGGCAGATGCTTTGTGAAGCCTCTTTCACAAGGGACTTCAGTGCCTTAAAAAGAAAAGTATAGCACCTAAGGGGCTGTGAGAAATCTGGTTCAGCCTGTGCACAGCTCTCAGGAAGACATATTTGGGATAAAGTCCAAGAGATGATTATGAGTCAAACAGATAAAATGTGTAGTGAGGTGGGGAGAATGGCCGAGACAGAGGGAACCACCTGTGGAAAGGCTGGAGGTACGAAGAAGTGTGGTCAGTGGTCGAAGGGCCAGGGACTGGGGGACAAGGGACAGAGTGTGGTAAAGCTGGAGAGGTAGAGATGGCCAGAGTGAGGCCAGGAGAGGAAGGGCCAAGCTGGGAAGGCTAAGTGCTTTGTCTTCAAGCTGTGAGTCAGGGGGACTGCAGAGATTAACGGAGGAATGTGTGGTGCGCCGGAGAGAAGGCTTTAAGTTCATATAGTCACCTTGCATTCTGAAACCTTGTCAAAATGATTTTGGACACCAATCATTCCAGAAAATCTCTGCCTTTACTCTTCCCATGGGTGGGTATGATTCTTTCAGCATCAACAGTATACCAAGAACCTGTTAAAATATCCTTAAAATTCCTTTCACTTTTTCTATTGGTCATTTATAACTATCATTGACTTTTTCTCCATATATTGTCACTTTTAAAAATGTACTAATTCAACCGGGTGTGTGGGCACATCTGTAATCCTAGCTGCCAGGGAGACCGAGATGTATGGATTCCTTGAGCCTAGGATGGCAAACCCAGCCTGGGCAACATAGTGAGACCCCATCTCTAAAAAAAAAAAAAAAAAAAATGCACTAATTAATCTCCTGACCATTGGTTTCTCTTTTAAAATTAAATTTCTTGCTTGGTCACACCTAGCCCAACACCTTGATTATAGCCTGAGGGAGGTCCTGGTCCAAAGGAACCCAGGTAAGCTATGTCCAGATTCTTGAGCCATAGAAGCTTCAAGATCATCCATGTTTATTGTTATGATCTGCTAAAAGTCACCCAACCAATTAACCATTAAATCAAGGATGTAACAGTTAACAAATGCTCCAATATGCACCAAAGGAGGCCCGTGGGAAGACTTAGGTCCCAAATACCCCAAATCTGCAATGATGTGGAAGCTGGATATTTTGAATATAATTTCACAGTACTGACAACTTAGGCAGTAGAGATTTCTAAGAAATTTTTTTTTGCCAATTCTCACAATCCCAGCCCTTTACACAGCCAGCTCTGACACGTGAAAAGTGCCTTTATCATCATATCTCACTTCAGTCTCCTGAAGTCTGAGTCAGTTCAGAAAACACAGCGACTGGCCTGTGTTGCAGTGTTTTTCCCCTTATCGATGAGAGGCAATTTTAAAGATGGTCTATTAGTCATTTCTTATTGTGAAAAGGTGAGGAAAGACAGAGTTGGTTATCACTGGTAAACCATCTGCTATCATCTATTATTAGAATACGTACTATTTTTAGGTTCTAGATTTGCTCAGGTAATACATTTCTATTTCCTTGTCAGTCTTTTTTCTTATTTCCTATGAGGTGACATGCAAGATTAAAAAAAAAACCACTTTAGGCAACTGGATGAGAAATGCGGATAGGAGAATTCACTCATTCACTGAACGAGTGTATTACACAACTCCTTCTGAACAGGAAAGTCTCAGGAAGGACTCTTTCCGCTGCAGGCAGCCACAGAGTGGCCCACAAAACGAACGTGTGGTGATTCGGGAGCCAAGAATAAGCATGAAATGGGGGGAAAGACTGTAGGAAAGGGCCAAGAAGGAAGTTAGAAAAAGAGGCTGAATGTGGAGAAATAAGATAGCAGAAATGCCATAAAATTAGTTAATTATGGGCAGCACCTGTGGCT